ATATTGCCAAAAATGATTTCACACAGAAATCACTTTATTATAAAGCAATATTTCTTGGACAGCCAAAACGTGCGATATCTTATCAAACTTTAATCAATTACGTATTGGGTATGTTGAGCTACGATGTTTTGCTATCTTTCGTGTCACTTTAGAATTCCCCTTTTGGTCGTGTGCATTCAAAGAATGATGTAAAGTCGGAATCAAATGAAATTCTAAAGGCATTATGTCGGGCGCATATGGTACATGAGGGAACACATCCCAATCTAACTACAATAGTTGTCGACTTCTTTGTAAAGATGTAGGGGGCACTGTCACGATATGAAATGTGACATTTTAACGATTCACCAGTTCTGGGCGTTTTTTACGAATTACAAACTTGAATCGTTCCCGCCTATTCTTAAAAAGCGTGCAATATATACTTAGAATATTTTCCATCCTCTAAGGCTAAAATATTATTTTTAAAATTACCAAAGACAATATAAAATTTACAAAGAAAAAAATGCATTTATTAGTCTTTAAAATTAGCTAGAATAATAGCAAAAACCTCACAGACTTTTCACTCAACTCATTACATAGAAAACGAAGCTAAGATTTTATTTAGAATAAATATAAATTTATTTATACATATATATAATTATTTTATTGAATTTAAATAAAATATGCAGCTTAAATTGTCGGATTTTAATAAGTATACCGATGATAACGTAGATTTGCACAACGGTAAATAATAAAAAAACAGGTTGACTAAAATATAATTCCTTGTGCGTAGCCAATTATCATGTTAAGATAGCTATTAACAGGAGAAATCTACAAGAGAGATTAATTATTAGAAATAGATACGGATTATCTTACTGAGCTGCTCTTTATATTTATTAGCGCACGAATATAATAATAAGAGGTTTACTATCGTCATTATTATTAGTTATTTGGCATTAGAAATGATAACAGAATCAAAATAGAACTTCTTACACGATATTTGCGTAGATACATCTTAGAGGATGGAAAAAAAGAGATACATACACTTATTTTTAAAATATTTATACATTAACGCAAAGCAAAAAGCAAAGAGCTCTGTGCTCAATGAATAAAGGCTGTAACAAAGGAGGTGGTAAACAATAAGAGCAGATGCATTATATCAGGATATGAAAGTATAACAAAACAAACGCTCACTGGCAAATTGTTATGCAACGGACAGAATTTAGAAAAAGTATAGAAATACAAGTACTTAGGCTGTATGTTAATGATCGTGGTGACCACAGTCTTGAAGTAAGGTGCCGTATTGAACAAGCGCGAAATACTTTCTTCATAATGAAAACCTTGCTCTATAACAGACGTCTTAACATCGATCTCCGCACTCGACTGGCTCATTGTTGCATCTTCTCCATTCTCTTGTACGGAGCAGAAGCTTGGACACTCACAGAATCTATGTGCAAAAAAGTGGAAGCTTTCGAAATGTGGGTGTATAGGAGAATGTTGAGAGTATCGCGAAGAGACAAAGTCATGAACGAAAGAGTCCTGCAACGTGTTGGTTGAAAACGAGAAATGTTGAATAACATCAAAAGACGGAAACTGGAGTATCTGAGCCATATACTGAGAAACTCAAAGGACGACCTATTGCAATCAATAATTCAAGGCAAAATACAAGGAAAGAGAGGTGTGAGAGGAAGCAGAACTGCAGTATCCAAAGTTCAGATTGTCATCATGATCGTGGACCTTCGTTAGAAGATAGCACATGAAAAAGAAGAAAAAGATGAAAGTATCCATGACGCTGAACGACTTAGATCAAATATTTTTTAATAAGTAATTTTTTTTTGTAAATTTCATGTAATAGAGACAACATATTTATTTGGTAAAGTAAAAATATGTAATTCTAATAAAAAAATTATTCAGCTGCATGGTCACGTAGACGACTGGGTTCTCGTTATGTTAAATTCTGTAGTTAGGAAAAGAATGTGGACATGTTTAGTGTTCGATGTAGGTATATTGGATAACTAATTATTAACAAAATTTGAACCATTTTGCCCTTACATTAACAAAACGCAAAATATGTGCAAAATACGTAAGCACATGTGACTTTTCGGTGTTTTTTTCGAAAAGGAATCGCGGTAATCGGTAAGTTTTGGTTAAATTGTGTAACATTTAAGGACATCGAGTGTTACAACTCGGGGAAATGCGTTGGAACACAGACAGCAGACTTTCAATCCTAAAAACTATTTTCCAGCAGCAGTGACATCTAGCGGCGAAATTCGTCACCATGACATTAAAATGTCAATGAAATGACTTTCAATACAATACTTCTAATTACAACATTAGTATTTATACATGGTGTCATTATTTAATAACTGACTAATTAAATAACTATATTTGATTATTAGGTATGGCTATTTATTATAAGTAGTAGAATATGATCAAGGTTCCGGAAGGAACAACTCGCGATCTCTAGCGGCACACACGACATCCACGAAGTTAAAATCAGTAAGTATAGTATGAGTAGTGCTGCGTGGAAAAGTATCTATTTTGAAAAATTCATATTACAGAAAAATAAATATTTTCCCGAATATTTTTTCAATATTTTTCCACATTTCCACAAAGTTGAATATACTGAACGAAATCCATCGAGTCATTATAAAGATTTTTTTTACCCTTACTTCTTTATTTTTCTCAATTGTCCAATCATTTTAAATCTCATTTTACTCTAACTTGCTTTTTTGAATTGTAATTTTATTTTCTATATCACGCTAAATAAAACATCAAAATATATATCTAAACGTAGAACATAATAATGAGCCTTTGAATAATATTTTTTAAGTTTACCAATTTTTCAGAAATTATCCGGAAAAATTTCCACAATTTGAAATTTTTCGAAGAATTACAAACCGTAAGTAAAACAATAACTGTTATAAATTATAAACCTGAGACTTTGATCATACTTAAATTAATAATTTAATATTTGAATAATTATTGCAAAGTGTACTTGACTTTGGGAACACCTTGTAACACGAGCGCAAAGATTATTAGATATTATTAGAAAGTTTAGTAAATAATGTTTACTAGTTTTCGATATATTTCATATTATTTTATTTAGTACGCTACAGATTACAAACTATAAACAGTACTTAGAACTATTACCAATATACCATTAATTAAAATCCTAACATTCAATTAAATTACACAATATTATTAGGTATTACAACAAAAATTGCGGTTATTTCTTGATGAAACAAAAAATTGCGGTTATTTCTTGATGAAACTAGAGTATAGTCAATTTTTATTCAATTGATATTCAGTTATTTTTGTATTAGTAGCAAAATAGTGGAGTAATTTCACAAAACAAATTGAATATCAATTCAATAAAAACTCAAAACACAGTGAATAGCGACATCTTTCGCCAGGGCCGGTAGCTGGAATAGTATCTAACTGGGTGATAAAACTTTCATAGATTTCTCATAGATGGCACTGCGACTGAAAAGTCGTTGAAAAACCAAATACAAAGACACGACAACAAGCACTAGAAAAATTCGTGAGGTCCGCTGGTTCGTTCCGTGACTTAGCTGGTATAACGTCTGGCACGGTATGCTAATAGATGTCGGTTCGAATCCGGCCGGATCGAAGGAATTTTTTCTGAGTGTTCGATCTTTGTATTAATAATTATAACAAACTAGAGTACAGTGTTGTCACAAAGGAGATAATGCTTCAAAAAAATGTCAAGGTGGACAGATATGATAATATTGTACGATCGACGCACACTCTGTGATGGTTCATTTTCAGAAAAGTTCTCTTTAGTTCGATGGCAAACTAGAGTCCTATTCCAGAACTCTACTCTAGTCAGGAGTATGATTTCAAGCACTGGAAATACGGCCCTAATGGCAAGGACTCCGGTATGATTTTTAGTGCTTTAAATCATACTCAAGGTCTGACTTGAGTATTGAGTAGAGTTCTGGAATAAGACCCTAAATAACTTCGAAATTTGCTCTCACTGAGTAGGTCCCTTTAGATGTATATGTTCGACTAGCTCAGATTCCAATGTTTACTTACAATCTCCGAGACTAATCTTGTTGAATTTACGTAAGCGATCAGAGTAATTAGACAGGTTTTCCAAAATCAGCGTTTTGAGTTTAGACATCACACCAACCGACGCTGAACAGATTTCATTTTTTCAATAAGGACGTCGTAAATGGGGCACCAGATGGATGAGCAGTATTCCAATATACTTCTATACCTATGTTCTATACCAAAGGTACATACCAAATGTACATCTTTATAAATTATAGTAATTAATGAGTCGGTATCTCAAAATCACTTAGTGCAACGAAGGAGCAGAAGAGGAGCTTTATTAGCAGTAGATCTCGTTGTGAAAGAGTTCGTCCAGGAAAATACTGCCACCTTACCTCATTCTGTCGCCAAGCAGTAATGTGAGCATTCTGCGTTCCGGTTTTGAAGGGTGAGGGTGGCGGTGTAATTGTAGGTACAAGGGATTTGTTAACTGATGTGTCAGATGACGGGCGCAGTGGCAGTGCCTCTCAGATTGTTCCGATTTAAAGCTCTGGGTGGCACTGCAACTGCTATGGAAAGGCGTGTCACTTACCCCAGGCGCACGACTTGTTCTTCCTATCACTAGGTATCATAAAAAAAAAATAAGAACGACAACAATTTAAATTCATCATTCAATATGTGGTAATAATGAGGCTAAACCAGAGTATGAAACATGACACCCAAGACACGAGCTTACAACAATGCTTACATGATCTAACGCAGTACTATTAACGTCGTAAGCACGTTACAGTAGCTTATTATTTCTGGTAAAAGTTATGAGTTCTTTTGTTGTATTGATAGACTTGCAGTTATTTTTACACCAATTAGTTATCGTGTTGAGGTTAAATTGCAGAGTAATACAATCGTTCAAGTCATCAATAAGGCACAAACTTTTAATGTTGTCTGCGTTCACCTATTTTTTGCATCTTCCCCCCCTCTCCCTCTCTCTCACCCCCTCTCTGTCTCACTCTCTCGCTCTCTCTCTCTCTCTTCGGCATTTCATTGTAATCTTGTACTTCATCTCCGCTTTGATCTGTTGGACGTGTCGTATTCTGAAACATGGCACTTCCTTAAATCTTTGGCGATTTGATCTCTCTCTAACTTAGGATTCTTCAGATCTATTAAGGGATTTCCAATGTAGTCAGGAGGACTCCTCCACGTGTAGGTACATACCACCTCAGCCTACTCCCTCAGAGCTTGTCTGCCATGTCGCATGCACCGAGGCTGCCACGAACGTATGAGACTTGTCAACTTATGTCTCAGGGTGACTGACGGGCGCAGTGGCGGTGCTCCCAGATCTTTATTATTGAAAGCCACACGCCTGCCCATAACAATTGCTAAAAGTTTTTGGCACGACAGTTAAATTATATTGCATTCACTATTTTGTAAGACGACATACTCGACGTAGGTGTAGGATGGCATACTATGTCATCTTACCCTTATAAAATAGAATATACTTATATATTTTTTTGTTTTCTATACAAGATGCCTGGCAATTACCAACGTACCTCGACACGGAAGAGTTGGTCACAAGAAGACATGGCTAAGGCTATTAAAGCTGTAAAAAGGAATAAGATGGGTTGGCTTTTAGCATCAAAACATTTTAATGTGCCACAAACCACGTTTCGACGCCATTATTATAGTACTCCAGAAAACCTTGGTCGTTATAAACCAACCTTCAACGCAGATATGGAAAAAGTACTTGTCGATCATGTGCTCGAGTTTGAAAGACGACTTTTTTGATTTAACACGACTGAAATAAGAAAATTAGCTTTTGCATTTGCAGAGAAATTGGGGCTGGATCGCAGATTTGATAAGAATAAACAAATAGCTGCCTGGGATTGGCTGAAAGGGTTTTTAGAGAGCGCAATCCTAATATCTCACTCAGAGCTCCAGAGCCAATGTCAGCTGCAAGAGCAAGGGCATTCAATAAACCTCAAGTAATGAAGTTTTTTTCTCTTATGGAAAAGGCTGTGACTGATAATGGGATTCAGGAGCATAGAATTTACAATATGGACTAGTCTGGGCTTAACACTGTACAAAAGCCCTCAAAAGTTTTTGCGTCCAAAGGAAAAAAACAAGTTGGTGCTGTCACTAGTGCTGAACGCGGTGAACATTTCACAATTGTTGCATGTGCTAATGCCATCGAAAACTATGTTCCACCTGCAATAATAATGCCCAGAAAAAATCACAAGGCTGAATACTTTGACGGTGCTCCACCAGGCTCTTTGGAGCTATGCTACCCCTCTGGGTCGGTGACCTATTTTTTAAGTGGATGCGCCATTTCGTTTCTTCTGTGAATGCTTCCGCAACAAACAAGGTATTGCTAATACTTGATGGTCATTCCAGCCACAAAGATCTGGATGCTCTTGAATTTGCCAAGGCCAACGGCGTAATAATGCTGTGTCTTCCTCCGCATTGCACTCACCGAATGCAACCGACCGATATATCATTTTTTGGTCCACTTCAGGTTTGTTATGACCGCGAGATGGCCACCTGGATGAACAACCATCCTGGCAGAACCATAGGCCTATACCAAGTTGCAAAATTTTTTGGAAGAGCGTACGAAAATGCAGCTTCAGTCAGGAATATCGCGAGTGGTTTTGACAAAAGCGGAATTTATCCCTTAAATCCATACATTTTCCCAGAGGGCCAGTTGCCAGTAGTTCATCTCTGCCCCAGCAAAATCATGGAGAATCCGATTCCTCAGAATCTACTGATGCTGGCGAGATGGACGTTGCAGCTGCCAACTCTCAGGAGGAAAAGTGCTAGTTCTCGAGAAATTTAAAGTCGTCTCTCATCCCCTACAATATTGTCAGCAAATATTGTTGCGCATTTGTTGCAAGATCATGACACCAATATTTCATCTCAGACCCAGAAACTGCTGGGAGTCTGGTTCTATGAAACCTAATTATGCTACCGGACAAATGGATGTCACCATTGCTTCGAAAGAAGGAGCCACTTCTCGAGAAGTTGAAAGTTGTCCACCATCCCTTAGAACTTTGTCAGCAAATTTTGTTGCGCATTTGTTACAAGAACATGACCACAATATTTCACCTCTGTCCCTGCCGATGATTCTAGAGTCTAGTTCTAAGGAACCCAGGGATGTCAATGAACGTTACCAAGGAAGCAATAACATTTTTACTGGACCAACACTTCAGCAATCGGAAATACATTTAACCACAAAGTGCCTACTTAAAGAAATATCACCACTACCGAAAGCTGCCTCTACTGGAAAGTCAAGAGTAAACAGAAAAGTCGGTGGATCGCAAGTTCTCACGGCTAGTCCATTTATGATTGACATTAAAGCAGCAATGCAGCAGAAAAAACAAAAGGAAAATCGCAAATCCCTAAAAAGACAAAAGCAGACAAAGCGTGTTATTTTCGAAGGTGACGTGAAACCTGGACCTGCACCTAAAAAAAATAGATCCACCTGAAGTCGAAAGCAGACGAAGCGTGTTATTTTGGATATTGAAGAGGACTTCAAGAAAACAGATGATGTGGAGCCTGAGCCCGCACCGAAAAAACGCAAATCCACACGAGGTCGAACGCAGACTAAGCGGGTTATTTTGGATGATAACGAGAACTTAGAGGAAGTCGAGGATCTTTACGCCAATGAAGACGAAGAGGAAGATGATCCAGCTTGCATTTACTGCAATGAGCTATTTAGCCAATCTAGGCCAAAAGAACTTTGGGTAAAGTGTCAACTGTGTTCCAATTGGTGTCATACACTATGTGCAGGCATACCTGCAAGAATCAAACTGTTTACCTGCGAGTTATGCTCGCAAAATTAATACTATTTAAAAAAAATAAGTAATAATTTAATACTTTTAAAATATGTCGTCTTATACAATAATATTCTATAAGATGATATACCATAAAAGTCTAAGGTGACATACTATGTCATCTTAGACTTTACTTATGTCATCTTACAAACGTCGACCTAGGTGAGATTTATGTTTGTTTTTTAATTTTGTTTAAAGTTTATTGTTCTAAGACTGAAACAATTTCATTGCTTATGAAACGTTAATGAATAAACCTAAGATTCTGATCTCATATGACTTCATTTTATTTTAATTATTTGTCTTGAAAGATAAAGTATGTCATCTTAAGCACAATTCCCCTAATTGTAATAACGTGATATGGCTTGCTGCCATGAGACGTCACTAGCTGTCAAAAATGAAACAGCCTCTTTGCAAGATGGCGGGGTATTGATCAAGACGTATAAATTCATATTGAAATAAAACTCTTGTGTTTCCCCCAAACAATATTTCATTTAAATAACACTACAGTAATGAGTACTAATGCTGCATGCGATTCATTAAGATAATGCATTCAAGGCTTTGAATCCACGATCTCAAAGGAAAAAAACACCCCTTTCATTTCTGTGTGTCGCACCACACTTACAATCTTGTTACTTTAGTTAATAATTTGATTTCTCTGAAGTGGGCGTCTAAATTAAACAAGAAAATACTGAGCATAATAACAAAAGATATATATATACCAATTTTTCCTCATACAAACGACGTTTCCCAACTATCACGCCTTGTAATATCTTAACTTAATTATTAATTTTAGTAATTCATAATCGTCATTCATTCACAAGAGTCCAACAGAATCTCGTGTACTTGTACGTGTTCTGGTGTGTTCAAAATCAATTTCACCAGTTTGGCAACATCTTTTAACTTTAAGTTATCTTCGTCAAAATCATATTTTTCTTCACTTTCAATATTTCCACAAACTACGTTGGTGACTTTTACATTTGCTTTCAGATATCTGAATTCATGTCTCAATATCTCATTGATAGACTTTGCGGCTGCTTTCGTGGCTATAAAAACATTTTTTCTCGAATCTTCAGGTAATTGATAGGCGCATAGATTATTAATGTTTATGATATGCCCTCGGGATTGTCTTTCAATCATATTACCAGCTGCAAGCCGTATACAAACTATTAGGGCGTTAATGTTAATATCTATTACCTTTTTGAAGTCACATAACTCTCCAGTACAGGCAGAGCAGTCAATATTACAGTGTGCATTGTTTACAAGGACATCTACACCTCCGTAAGTCTCTATTATTTTAGCGAATGCTGATTTTAACTGCTTTAAATTGGCGATATCACATTTACAAAGTACAATTTTTCCATTCAGATCATTCGGCGTGCAAATTTTCAATTTCTCTGTTATTTTATTAACTATGAATTCAGTTTTCGCAAAACCAATGACTGTCATACCACTTTTTGCTAGGAGTTCCATTACAGTCAATCCAAGTTTATCTTCACAACTTGTAACGACAATGACTTTGTTAACCCAAGGAATCATATTAGTTTAGAATTTATTCTTCCTTAGTATATACAAGTCGCTTTGACTATACTCAGTCTAATGGAGGATATCAAGTTTATATAAACAAAGATTTTAAATTATGATGACCATCGGGTCATTACCCTAATGTCAAATAAATCGTCTTTTTATCTGATGACAATTACAATTTTGATATAGTGGCTGAATCTCTCTCATCCATCAACAAAACAACAACAATCCGTGAAAATTAGCTTCTCGAAAAAAAAAGAAAAGTTGTATTACACCAATACAATAAAACATTCGTTTTTGTTAGTGGACAGTTCACCCGTAATTATATACTTTCAAAACAATAAAAAATGCTTTGCAAATTCTGTCGTCGGAAATGAGAAATAAAATACACTGCGCAAGGTGCATAAATTAGAACGAAATTTTAGTATCTTACCTACTTGGACGACATAATGGTAATTTTGTAATTTTACACCACGTATCTTCTCACATTGCCACGAATTACGAAATAACAATCATTGTTTTAGCCCTTTCGAAGCTGGCCATACAAGATTGATTGGCTTATAAGAATAATTTTCTAAACGAAACTTCTACCTATCTGAACGGGGCCTTCGTCACACGATTGCGCGTTAGACGAACTTTTACCTTGCATTTAAAATTAGTGCATCGACTAGTCGCCTTGAGAGCATCAACACATCAATTCGGACGGATTTTAACGGGCCCACCTTTTGGATCGTGAGTATTTTGATTTATGTTTTTTCGTTTGGAATACTGTTTTTTAACACCTAAACGCAAATAATACATTAAATATTTTATGTGATTAAGTCAAAACATCATGCTAATAACTATCTAGCTTGCATAAAAATATTGACGATTTTTTGCTACACAGTTGTTACGACCGGTGCCCAAGTACAACTTTAGTGCTTACTTTTTTCACGCTTTTAACGGTTTTCTCAGGACATTTCGGCATGACACGTAAATTATTAAATTAAGAAATTGAAGTTTGTTATGGGGGTCCGATAATGAGGGCAGACATGAAGACGATTTCGATACCTGCAACAAAACTCCCAGAAAAGTCGTGATGTTGAGGGGTGCTCATTCTCAAAATCGGAAGACGAGTATGTTAATGACGTATCTCTAAATACGCGCTGATGGAAGAAGCAGAAGCGTCGATGCTAGGGATTCTTTCCTTTGCTCAATATTTAGAGAAAAATATTTTACACCAGACGACACGGTGAGATTTATTATGAAAAAAAGTACTATTAGAATAGGTATATTTTAAGACTGTATGTTGATTTTGCATGTAAGAAATGTCTTAAGAATAAATAAATAATAATTATAACAAAATTATTGTTGTTGCATTTTACTCAAATATATATTAAAGGTGCGTCTAAATACAATCGTGTTCCTACACAATTGTGTGCCTGTTATAAAGGGTCGAAGTTAATATAATTGTGCGGGCAAAATTTTCTAAGATGGTGGCCGGAAAATGGAAAATTTAGTCATCTACAGGTCAATTTCAGGTAGACACAAATTTTTTCGAAGAAATTCCAAGACGTTTCGGAGCCGGTCCAAGGGTTAATTTTGTATCGGATGAAAGGCTACCACGAAACGCTTTTATCCCATATCGGGCGCAAAGTGCATCCGAAGATCGCGATTTGACAAGTATGCCTTACTGCGTAACGCCAAATGACAGATGTCGTGTCGAATGAGGCATTATTTTCATCGTAAAACTGACATAAAACCAACGATAGTTCAAGTGGTATTGTGTAAAAATCTTGTACGTCTATTCCATCCTCTAAGGTCTAATTGACACTCGAATTGAATTGACAAGTTAACATTGCCAAATCGTTCGATTTTTATTTTATTTTGTTCAGAGATTCTAAGTACGTCATAGAAATTTTGAAACAACTGTACCATAAATCTTATCAAAGAGGAAGCTCTAAAACTTATATGAAAAAGTGGTAGGTATGCATAATATGAATCAGCTATAATATATATATAAACACTAATATCACACGCAAAATCTCTATTAAAATATCAGTATTTTATTTGTTTTTTTACGTGAAATGTATAAAATCTTCACGCCCATTAAAATTGATATTGTGTTTTGAAAATTGTCGCACCAGCATCACCACTACTAGTATCTTAGTGGAAAAATATAAAATCATGGATATTAAAGTTCCCTTTTGGAAGAACAAGGTTGCTATTATCACCGGAGCTTGCTATGGTATAGGAGCCCAGATAACAAAAGATTTGCTCAAGATTGGAATGGTTGTTATCGGTTTTGAACCAACTGAACAGAGAGTAACAGAAATGCTAGAAAAACTTGAAGAATGGGGACCCGTTGAAGGACAACTGATTCCTTGTAAATGTGATATTTCTAATAATGCAGATTTAAAGAATGCTTTCGAAGGCATAGTGGCTGCATATGGTGGTGTTGATCTTTTAATCAACAATGCTGCCATTGGGAAAGAAGGTCTCATATGCACAGGTGATATTGAAGACATGATTACAGTAACAAATGTTAACATTTATGGCCTCCTCGCGTGTACACGATTTGCTATAGAATCGATGAGCAGAAAGAATGTTCCCGGGCAAATTATAAACATCAATAGCATTTGTGGCCACTACATGCCACCTTTTGCTGAACCGAAGATAAATATGTACATAGCATCAAAGAGAATGATGACTGTGCTGAACGCATTACTGAGAAGAGAATTAAAACAGTTGAACATAAAAATGAAAGTAACGAGTATTTCCCCTGGGCTAGTTCGTACTGGTATTTTTAAAACTGCGGGGATTAAGTTTATAGACGACAACTTCTTTAACAACCATCCTCATTTGACAACGGAAGACGTTTCAAATGTAATATTGATGATATTATCAACTTCACAGAAACTGCAAGTTAATGAAGTAATTTTTCATGCTTTACACGAAATATATTAAGAAGGTAAGGTACTTATACCTTAGGTGTGATACTTTAAGACTTGTATGGTAAAACATTACAAATTGTTTGAGTACTTATATTATAATATTTTTATAGTTTCATCTCCTCAAATAAGTAAGCCTTCGTATTATAATATTCAAGTTATCTCTATTAAATTTTAAACGGTTTCTTGTAGCAAGAATAAGATTATTAACTGCACAAATCGCTCATTTGGTGGTACACTGACGTATTTGTACTTTTTAACAAAATTTATCTATGTAGATAGATATGTATGCCAAAACATTTGTAATAAATGTTTATGTTTGTAGAAAAATCGGCAGACATATTAAATTACTATATTGATTAAGTTTTATTGACCCATGAATTTGAAATAAAAATAAAAAAATAATTTCAAATCCATCCTCTAAAGTTGCAAGAAGCATAATTGCGTCAGTATAGTAGCAAATGAGCTCAGTGAGTGTCATTTACATTTTCTTTATTTGTATGAGAAAACTGAAATCGAAATTCCAAATCAACTTTTTTTAGCGAATTAAAAATTTGTTTAGTCACGGGCATCAAAATCATAATCAAAATTTACTTTTTTTTTCATAGGTAAGCATTATTACACTTTAAATCGTCACCTTAAACTGTTGTTAAACTCTACCGCTCATTCGTAAAGCAGATTCCCCTGGGAAGAATGAGCAATAAACTCTAAGGGTTGCCCTTTGTAAATAACATTTTGTACACATTCAACATGTACAATATATTTTTTATTGTTTTCAAACATCAGAGATCGAGACTACCTCCATGAGTTGAACAGGTTACTACCACGGATTTTTGTCATCCAATTATGCAGAAGTTATACAATAGCCTTTAGTATAAAGTTTTTATTCCACTATAGTTTTACATCTCGTGAATGGCAAATTTTGTATATCAATTGGAATCTTGTTAAAGAAGCGTATACATCGCCCCTTAAATGAATTTGTGACTTTGTGAAGACGACCATCAAGAACAGCTAGTTTATTTTTATTCCTTATATTAATGTTACGTCGGTCACTATTTTTCATAAAGAAATTTCTATTCCTCTTATACTGTGGCGCTAGTGTAAGAATGTTATTTTCCTTAAACTTATCTCTCAAAGATACCCTGGGCCCAGATTGTAAATTGCCCTAACCGCACGTTTCTGCAGGACAAAGATTCTATTGATATCAGCGGCATTATCCCAAAGCAAAATGCCGTATGTTATTGACTGTAAACCATTGCAATTTAGCATCTAACCTTATATATCTGTATCCACAAGGTTCAATTTTTCGTTTCTGACTATGTTTGTAACCGTTTGTGTAAATGAGAAATAAACTAACAACAATGTTGTTGTTTGTTTTTTTCTCATTAAGGAGCAGGTTATTAACAGCAAACCAATCGTATATAATAGGGGTTAAAGTATGAAATTGCCGATTTGTACTGAAAATCTAAATTGTTTATTTTTTAAATTTTTAACAAATTTATTTAATTAAAATAGTTGCCATTATTATCTATACATTGCTGCCATCTAATGGGAAGCTTATTAATGCCTTTGCGATAGAACTCCGACGATCTAGACTGCACAAACTGTGTGAAAGCATTTTGTTCTGCCTCCTGGGAAGAAAACTTCTTGTCACGTAGATAATTGTCCAAATCACGAAAAAAAATGGTAGTCCGTTGGAGCAAGGTCTGGTGAATACGGAGGATGACGAATGGTTTCTAACTGCAGTTCCTGAAGGGTCAAAATGGTTTCTCGTGCTGTGTGAGGTCTCGCGTTGTCGTGGAGCAATAATGGTGAAGATCGATTCATGAGTCGGGGCTGTTTTACTGCTAGTTTTGTCAACATGGTTCGGAGTTCGGCACAATAGATATCTGCCGTTATTGCTTGACCAGATCGGAGAAAACTATAGTGAATAACACCATGCTGAGACCACCAAACAGTTACCATTACCTTTTTATTGGTAAGTTTTGCTTTAGGACACTGTTGTGGCATTTGACCTGGGGTCAGCCATTGCATTTTTCTTTTCCGGTTATCATAAAGAATCCACTTTTCATCACATGTTACAATTCGATCCAATATTCCTTCATTTCTGTACCGGTTCAACAAGGCAACACAAGTTTCAACACGCGTTTCTTTCTGCAGATCAGTCAAATCATGAGGCACCCATTTTTCGTATTTTTTTATTTTATTGATTTGACGCAAGTGAGTCAATATTGTGGGTAAGGTAACGTTAAACCATGCCGCTAATTCCTGGGTAGTTTGACTAGGATCGGCTTCCACTATCTCTCTTAATTCATCGTTATTCACCTGTGTGGGCGGTCTTCCTCGTGACTCGTTCTTTAAGTCGAAATTTCCATCACGAAAGCGTTTAAACCAAAATCGCACGGTGCGTTCATTAGTAGACCCCTCTCCAAACGCAGCATTGATATTGCGGGCTGTTTCTGCCGCGTTAGTTCCGCGTCGGAACTCGTATTCAAAAATCACTCGAATTTTCGCAGTATCCATCTTTCTTGTCTAAATTGAATAACAAAAACAATTGAAAGTCGATATTCAAATGTTTCAAATTTAAAAAAAAAATCACAGAAACCATTTGAAAAAAGTTTCATTCGAAAACCTCAAACCATGAAGATTCTATGAAAATTCAAAGAACCTATTGCAATAAAACGGCAATTTCATACTTTAACCCCTAATATAACCCTCACAAGCCACACACCTTGACTATAAACTGTTTCTTATTGATATTTTCAATCTCGCATTGGCTTATTTCACATTGCAATAGGGATTGTAGGCCGTACGCACAACCTTTTTTCTTATAATTTAAATGACTTTGCCTTCGTATTTAGTTTAAAAGGATGTGGTATGTGAGTAGTAATAGGATGTGTACTTACATACATATACATATTAAAGTTTGACATTATTATTTTCAATAAATAAAGTCAATACATTATATCTTCATTACATAAATACAATAAACTTACTATGGGAGTGGGGAATGGGATAATGATTGCCAGGAGTTCGGATATCAAAGTAGGTATCGTGTTCAATTAAAGGACAGGAGACAAAAATATGACTGAGATCCCTATAAGCCCCACATGAGCTTGCAGGGTCAGATACAATTTTAAATTTAAATACCACACCATGTCATGGAATTATATACATTAATTACAGTAAATAACGCTTTGTATTAACACTAAGGCTAAATAGTTAATAAAGTTATTGAAAATTTAATAGGAAATGAAAAAAAAAATAACAATACCATGACCGCGTAACTGGTTCTTAATTTTTGGAAATAAATAAAAGTCACAAGGTACCAGGATAGTCAAGTAACATTTTTTGTAAATTTTACTATCATCATCGTTTACAAAGATTTTTCGAGGCCTCAGAAATCCTCCAAAATCTGTTCAATTTGGTGTTATAGATGCGTAGGGTTACCAAATCGGAGAATTCCGAACATCATTTTCTTGATTATATATTGACGATGTTTCTTACAATAGTATGGAAATTCACAAATGATGACTACGCATCTAAGCAATGCAAATGTTCACTCAAACGTAACATACTTAGTGCCTAGCCTGTGAATAAGAGTGTAGATAATATTTAGTAGTCACATATCGTTAAAATGTCGAAAGTTTTAAGTCGTAAAAATATTAGTGATTTTTGCCTCAAACTATACTTATACAATTTTAAACAAACGGAAAACAATGTGTTTAAATTGGTTCATCTCTCAATATACTTTATTTTGCCTCTGAGTACGTACTTAATGAACTCCATGCTCTACAAAACTCCTCCGGAAGTTTAGTCCGGAATTTCCAGAATATCCGAACTGGTCGCCCTATCGAGCGTAAAGCTATTACGAACCTCCACGGAATTGATGCACTTGGAGGAAATAGCGCGATCTCTCATGGCTGATTGGTTGTGAGTTATGGCAGATCTACGAAATATGCCGCTTAGAAAACCTTTAAGAAAAACGTATTACGGACGTAATGTGCGGGAACATTTTATAGAAATTGTGTAATATTAGATCTTGTCAGAGGAAGTGTTAGGGTGAAGACGGCTTTGTAAGTATCATTTCACGCTTGTGTCAAAAGATTACACAGTATGACGCAAGTGTTAAAGTGCCAAACGACATCGAAAGTGAAGATTTCTGTATCTATCATCAGCAAACAAAGTGACCAACGACAGTCGTTTAAAACTCAAATCAGATTAGTTTCACAACTTTGAAGTCGATGTTAAAAAATATTATATTTCGAGAAATATTGCACTTAAAATGTTTAATAATAAAGGTTAAAAGGCGGAATGGAATTACATAGGTATCTTTATTTAAATACACAATATCTATATGTATATACAATTCCATTCCTACTTACTGGAGTAAATTACCTTGCAAGCCACTCATTTCATTTCAACTACTTCAATTTAGTTCAGCCGTTTTCTTACATTTGTCTTAGACCGCAAGCCCACAATTAGACAAGTTTTGGTTATTGCCTGGACACGGTTTAACACTGATTATCCGAGCGGTGTGCAGGGAAAACACCGCAATGGTCAAACTCCACAAGCAGAGTTTAATTGCGTTCCAGTGGACGGATTTTCATTAGGACTACTGCTTTTGAACTCCACATAAAACAGAAACAAGGGTCAGTCTATTCTATATTGTCTTCTTAAAGCTCTAAGCAGTAAACACGTACCTACATAACGATATACCTTAGACAAATGTGTACTAAATAGAAACTAGAATACTATTTTACTTAGTTAACTTAAGGATAACCTGATCATCTCTTAATTATGTCTGATTAATGCTCATGGATCCCAGTAATCTTAATTATTACACACCACTTTCAATAAGCAAGTTTTATATATTTATTAATAATTTATCATTTTTATAAAACATTTATTAAAGTACTCTATAAAATCAAGAAAAGGTTCTATATTGGACTGAAATTGGCATAAACTTAATCACACAGAATATTTTAAAGTTTCTGATTTGAAAACTGTCAACAG